ATTTCAGGCTTTCGGGAAATATGCCCAGACTAAAACTCTTATTGACAATATGTGTTAGTACTGGCGCTATGTCATCTATAACAAATTTTAGTAGTTGTGTAGAAATATTATCATATCCTGAAGATTTGTTATTCTTTAGACTTTTGACCACTAACTTTATTTCGTCTTCTGAAGTTGGTGCAATAAAAAATTATTGTTGTGAGGTGCGTAGTGGAAGCATATTTGTGGTCGAAACTCTTCTAGGACGGTCAGCTTGTACAGAGATAAGGTAATTGTTTATCTCCTCTGAGATAACGGATGGGTCCGTTGCATAAGTTCCATCTGATAATTCAACATTCTTAATATTCCTATCTGACACTTGCCCTGTCAAACTATTTATTATTTTCCATTGTTGTGATATGTCGTTGTTATTGTTTAACAATAGTTTAGAATAATATTGGTGTTTTGCAATACATATTATTTTCTCATTCAAATTATTACAAAATTTAGCAAAGAAATTTCTGAAAGTTGTGTCATATAAACGTCGCTTACTAATTCTATAAAGCTTTTTGCGCCTATTAATGCCATTCAAAATATCGAGAGTTATCCATGGGCTCAATGATTTAGCTTTTTGCACTCTACTTTGCCTGTTGACCTTTTTACAACTTGTTACAACTGAATACAGTACATCATTAAACTTACAGTAACAGCTATTTACATCTTCATCATTATATACTATGTCCCAGTTAATCACTTTCAATTTATCTTTTACGAAATCAAAATCAATTCGAAAACTATCATTATCAAACTTAGATATGCTTGTTACACTACTGTGAGATTTCCATGTATTTTTATGAACAAGTCCTAGAATACAATGATCTGTAATGCCATGATCAAAAACTGCACTATTAAAGTTATTAATTTCTTTGCTTCTAATAAAGATGTGATCTATACAAGTTTTAGATGTAACAGTAATTCTGGTTGGGGTGTTAACTAATGATGTGAAACCTTGATTGTGAAGTATATTGAGGTAGCTATTTACAACAGGTTACAACATATAGGTACAACATATATTATTACTAGTGTTATTAGACGTATATCTTTTTTGGGGTTTTCAAGGAATAGGTAACAATCAATGATAACACAAAAGTCCAATCTACTTACCCTACATGTAAGCAGCAGAACCGAGCAGAAACAGCCCAAAAGTATAAAGGGGAAGGTAGTTTTGTTCATCCGTTTGTAAAAAAACGTGTGCTTTTTCGGTCCTGCCCCTGCAATATCAGGTAAATAACGTGTTTAGAATTAATGACATAGATGATTAACAGAATTAGATAAGCTAATTCTTAACCTGAAACGAAAACAAATTTAACAGATTTATCTACTATTAGTGTGGAGTGTCGCCGCTAGGGGCGCTCATTATGACGGGTGTAAAATCGTCAAAACACTGGAATCGTCCAACAATCCACGCATACGATTAAATACGTTACGTTGGAAATAGAAACTAAAGAATAGCACGCCTTCAACATGACATTGGACTTAAAAACTGCCATTTTACCTGAGTTTGAAAAGTAATTAGAATTGCATAGCATGATATGGTGTGGAGAAACATGGAAAACTAAATTGTTTACTGATTCCCATCCAATGTAAAAATTTGGCGCGAAAAAATAGATGAAGGACCATATCACCAGCGGGTACTAGAGTGTATTGGTTGAATATTAATTAAAATCCATGCCAACAGCTGATTGAGTTATCACTTGATTTGACACAGAATATTGTAATTATAGTTGATGGGCCATCTCAACAGATTGCACCACGTTTTTTGCTTCAAATTTTACTTTCTCCCCATATACCTTGTAGTGTTATTTACGTTAAAATTTTCGAGTTTGAGTTTTGAGTGGATATATCCGTTTTGGGCCCCCCTGAACACAAAAAGTGGTTTTCGAAATGATGTCTGTGTGTGTCTGTATGTGTGGATTTGTACAGAGGTACAGACACCCGTAGACCAATTTTGACGAAATTTGGTATGAAGGTTAATTCATCCACGGTATCTCTAGGTGTTTTTTAAATTTTGATTTTTAATGCTGATTTTTCCATAAAAACCCATAAAATATTCGAAAAATCTATTTTTCTCTTAAAGGGCCCAAGCGATTTAATAAAGATTTAGTATGTTGTAGCCCTTCAAATTCTGAAAAAAATGGTAGAACGTCCATATCTGTTAAAATTACGGTTTAAAAGTTATTGTAACTTATGTTATTTTCTCATCAAAACCCCATAAAATCGTATTTTAGAAAAAACCTGTTTTGGATTAAAGTTAGTATGTTATAGCAAAGAAAATAGAACCTAGTCCTATAAATTCTGAACAAAATGGTACAAATATCATTTCCGTAAAAAATACTTTTAAAAAGTTATCGTAGCTTATGTTATTTTCCCATAAAACCCCATAAAAACAAAACTCGGATATTATAATAAAGCCTGATTTGATTAAAATTAATGTGTTATGGTCTTTATAATAAAAAATAGTGCAACTTATGACATTTTCCCTTTAAAATAGCATAGTTACTCCCATCGCTTACCCATTATAAAGGTTGTTCACAACACAAGCTAAAGGGAGAAAGTATGTGTCAGATTGCTGATACCGTTTATTTTACATTGGATGAGAAGTTTAGTCTACTCGCTGTGTCAATGTATGATCAATGGAGGTGGCTTATATTTTAAACCATTTTGTTTGCATGAAAAAAAATGCAAAAAAATGTCCGCCCAAAATAATGGGAATAAAACAAAGCCTCCTATTCGTACGGTAGTACTTTTTCACTATTGCGTTGCCTGCGCATGAGCCTATGAGCCATTTTAAACATTTTGTCTATTTTATATGTGTAGTTGTATATGGGAGTCACAGAGAGCACAGAATAGAAAATATATTCTAAAAAATATTTATATTCTGTGCTCTCTGGGGGTCATGGACTTGACAGGAACAATTGTTAACTTTCATCTCTTTCCTAACTCTTGGGAACTTGTTACGATTTTTTCAATTAATCGCCAAGTTGGTAGAACTGTTAGGTGAAAGTTATCGGACTGGTTCATAAGTCTGGTATTTTTGTGTCGGCCTTGTAGGATTCACTTCTACCTTAATGTTACACAACATTCGCAATAGATGAGCAAAACAACTACTAAAGTAGATATTGCGGAAGTAATGTTGACTTGTACTGCGACTATCACATCTCTAATCTGAGTCCCCTTAGTCATGGAAGACCTACAATAACAACAAGAAAGCTGTATTTTGTCATCTCACTTTTGGGTATAGTATTTCATAGTAGAATAAAGACCTCTTTAATTAGGGTTACACGTAAGTTCACCGTTCGTCGGACCTTTTCTTAAATTTACTGGATTTAAAGACATATAATGTTAAGCATTCGGCAAAGCAACTTCAACTAGGAAACTAAAGTTTTGTTTCACATCAACACAACCGAGCCATTTGACCTCCAGCCTCATCTTAATTGATTGCTGTATCTCGGAATGGAGTCTAATTCTCCGCTGACGTTTAAGTATCTTTTCCTAATCTTCCAAAAATGCGATTTAAAAAATTTGGTATTTTTAGCTACATTTTTCTCGACTTCTTTGGACACATTTACAACCACTGGAAATGGAAAATACCGGAAACTCAGTTAGAAAAGGCTTGGTGTTGTAGACTTTTTATGAGGAAAGCCATTTTATCCTGCTCGCTAAACAATTAGTCAATGGGAAATCTTCACTCCTGAGTGATATCAATTTTTAATAGCCAGAGGCTCACGGTCTGAAACTTTCAAAAAATTATTTATTTATAGGAAGTACGAAGTACAGACTACATTTCAATTCTGGGCTAGATACAACTGTATAAGAGGCAACAAATTAATAATTAATTACCATTAATCAAATAATGTTTTAATTAATTAATAAAAAATCCGATTTCCTTTAAATAAATATGTATGGTAATCATAAATCAAACTTATCCTAAAATAAATTTGAGAAATTTGTCCAGCAAAAAGAGAAAGATTTAATTTCAATCTACTCTGTCTCGTGAAATCGTCGGCTATTTCTTTGAACAATTTATGTTAAACTATCCACATGAACCAAAAGCACGTGATAAAAGACGTTTGCAGTTAATTTCAAACACTAACAATTCCAAACAGTGAACTTAAAACGAAGAAAAGCCCAACATTTTTGTTGTTGGTAATATAGTAATCTTATTTAAAAGATTTAAAAAAAGATAATAGTTATCTTATTTAAACTTTTGTACAGATAGTGAATAGTAGTTACTGTCAGTTGTTTTCAGCTTGAGCCGTGTTTTGTAGTCCTTTTTCATTACTGTACACCAACATTATCTATATTGTTTTAAACTAATTGTTCAATTCGATTGTTATTAATACTGTAGTGAGATGTGAAATAGCATAAACTGGTAAAATACGATCTATTATTGTAGAAAACACTCACACACCCCGTTATTTCGTATGAAGATTTCTTTAGTAATGAAAGCCTCATAACAGAACAATGTGAGTACTTTTTTTCTTGCTTTCAACAAAATACAGTAGTTTGTTATAGTTGGACAGTGTATTACACTCTTCATTTTAAAATTGTCCACATTTTACCTGTTTATCGTGTTTTCGTTCATTTTGTATATTGTAAATTGTCTCTCTTTGTAAAATCTAAACCCTGTGGATTTCATATCACCGTTTTATTTTGCATTTGACTTTTAATTGTTTTAAGGCTGGTTAAACAAGATGTATATGTTACAAAACAATCTAAATCTATTAGCTGTCTTGCCACTATATGTTTGACACTTAAAGGAGTATGTTTATTATTTAATCAAATCTACGAAGTTATTCAATTGGTTTACAAAAACAGCAAGTGTAAACAAAACCGTGATTTCCATATTCGCGTATCAGCTGTCGACCTTGAACCATATGTTATCTTCTGTTGTAAGTCGCTGCGGGGCGGAGAGGGGGGAAATGTAGTGTTGTGTGACTCAGTACCGCTCGGTCCTCCCTGTGATAAGGGTGTAGGTTGCAGGTTCTGTAGTGTTCTTCCTAGGTCAACAATAGCCGGTATCATTGTTGAGTGTTTCCGGTCAAGAGGAAGAAATAGACAGTCCAAATGACGACCTCCGACTCCAAAACTGCTGCTTTTCGGAGAACCGCCAAGTTCAGACAGTACATGGCAGCTTTTATAGGTAATTCCTTTAAAATATTATCATAAATTACTAGTGCTTTAAGTTTATTTTTGCTATAAAACTTTGATATATATCTATAGATTCAAGTGCTTTTCTCCATAAACTTCTCAATGTACAGGTACTATTTGCACTTACATGTCTGATAGTTGGAGATAAATAATCTGATGTCACAACAATGAATGATAACAATGTAGCAAACAGCTGATCATGTTGCCGGTGATGTGTGTTGCTGATCATGTGTGTGTATGTTTTGGGGTGTTTTAGCCCTTAGAATATGTAAAATAAGTGAGGATTGCAGTGCTTTTATGCATGAAAATTTCAATGTGCTAATTATTTAAATTTCAGTACAAGGGAGTCTAATTACTCAAAAAAGTCCAGTAAAACAGCTGGTCGTAGAACAATGTTTAAGTTAAATTAAAGTTATGTTATACCATGGTTTAAAACGTCAAAATATAGTACAGGTACATTAAAGAAAGTAAACATGTAAAAATCAATAAATCTTTGATGAAATTGAAAGACTGATCCTCTTTAATTTAAGTTACCTACCATAAAATTAAAATTGATAGTTTATTATGTACTTAACATTACACAAATATTTATTTGAAATATTATAAAATAATTAACATGGACAACTTTTACTTGGTTTGGGAAGGTTTTGCTTGAGGTTTAGACTAGAACAGTTTTCAATCTGCAAACAGGTTGAGGTTGAAAATAAACAGCACAAACTTGAACTGGTTTAACCACTTAACCAGGTACAAAACCGAATCCAGAACCCAGTGAGCATTCTGGTACTGATTGCTTTGTCTGATAACCAACCTGCTGTACATTTTTATTGCCCTTATCTTGATGCTAGATCATTTTCTGACACTAAATTATACCATGTACAACTCAAGATTTGTACTCCTTTGTTCAATTTCATGGAAAAGATTTTATTCATTTCTCTGTAGACTTTTAAAAAAATACAGGTAGTTAACCATATTATGATATAAGATTTATTGTAATTTCAATTAGGTACATTTTTAGAATATTAAAAAATACAATAAACCTCCAGTAAGTTTACTATAAGAGATCATATTTTGAAGAAACCCTAAATATCACTGATCATCATATTATTATGAGGTACCTATTTCTTAGCCCTAACAGTATCTTTTAAACTTTATGATAGTTGTAAATACCCTCATAAAAAAATAAAAATGAATTTTAATAATTTTGAATTATGGTATTGAAGACATTAATCATCCAAACCAAATAAAAGTATAACCAAAAATATTAAACCTTTTTAGTAAGATTTGAAATTATTTAGAACCACCTACTTTGTCATAATTACTGGCCATTCAACCCACTTTCTAAATGAACCACCTAGTGTATTTCTAAATTTATATCAGACTGCAAGGAAGCCAAATACAATTTTATTTGAGAATGGTACAAAAACATTAAGTATTAAATTTTTTCCATCACCATAGTTCACTTTTTCCTATATGGAAACGTCCTTTACACTAACCTCTTTTCTGCAACACTTAAATATGCTGAACAATAAAAAATTATTATACAGATTCAAAGACATAACACGGCATTATCACTTAGATAAAATCCATTGGTGATGTGGGCACCAAGTCCCAGGATCCAACCAATAGACCAGCTTATACCAAACACACACACATAAATTAGCATACACATAGATTTTTGATTAACCAAAACTGGACTCAGCTGTACTGGTTTAAACAGTTCCCCTTCTGAGTAACAAAGCTACTATCCCATTTCATTCTACACTCAAATATTATTCATGTTTGAGCTAAAATACACCTAGTCTTTCACATATTACTGGGTGATAAAATTGTGGGATTTTTTAGTGCTTGGGAAAGAGCTTAGTAACATTTCCAACTTTATATTTGAGTAAAACATACTGTGTTTGGGCAAATGTTGGCTGAATCAGTTCTATAAACTATGTTTGTGTAAACAAGAATTGGATGACTGGACTAAATAGCCAAAGTACTGATGAAACTGTATTGAGAAATGCATTCAACTCTGCAAGGCCAGGACCCCTGCTGTTTGCTGACCTATGTGCCTACCTTTGTAACTAGACTACTAGGCTGAAGTTATGCAAGCATGATGTTCAGAAGGTCACCGGTTCGATCCTCACAAGTCATAAGCATTTGATGGTTCAAAACTGGGTCCAGGTGTCCTTTATCACAGCTTTTAAAAAATGGTCCTGACTTAAGGACCACTAACCAGCTGATCTTAGTCAGTAACACAACAAAATCGCCACTTTCAAATTTTCCCTTAAAATACACTCAAGTCAGGTAATCTAATGATGAACTGCTTGGTAAAGATCTTTACAGCGATCAATTATTTTTACATCAAAGATGAGTCATAAATCTTTTTTTACTAAAATAAGCCAGTTGTTTTTTGGGGGATAATTTTATATTTTTATAATCATGTTTAGGTCCATCTGAATTTGAAAATTCGAATAACCCAAACAGGACTAGGGAAAGATTATTTAAAGCTACTCATAACACTACTTTTGCTTATTATTGAATTTATCCGAGATTACAGCACGACATGTTAAATTACAGTATACTTACCACCACATAAAGTCCATTTATTGCATTCTTTAACAAGAAGTCCTTTGAACCCAAATCTAAAATATATGAGTAAAATTAGCAAAAACATTCATTATAAACAGTAGCTACATTCATATTATTTTTTAAAGTTTAAAATATTTTACTCTTTTACAAAACATACAGGCTTTTATGCATTACAGTACCTACTACATTTATTTGTAAGTTTCAAGTTATTCTAGTATTTATTTTAAAATCCAGCATATATGTTTAAAATGTTCAAATAAATATGAAAATTTAAAAGAAGAACACACAGTTAAATAGCATTTTTCACTGTTTACATAACAGTATAAACTTAGTTATCATAGCCAAAACTAAAGATATATTTCTCATATTGTGTAACTTTGAACCAGTTGAGCACAACAAATGACTTCTATCAAGATTGAAAACTGGTTTCTGTAACTGCTACTTATGACCTTTGAAATTATACCACAGAGTGACCATGGACTTGTAATGACTGCTTCAGCTTTGAATGGGTTTGAAAAATATCCTTTATTGTTTGAGACAAATGAAATAGTGTAAGTAACACAATATTATTCTGGTCGCTTCAAAATAATTATACACCTTTGATGGAAATGAAGATATAAAAGTTGAATGTATTTTACCCATCCAATAACACTTTTATCAGTTTGTTAAAATATTTCATTGAGATTTTAGTCAAAAATTAATACTCAGAGAGCAGCTGTTGCGGTGGTTAGAGCAGCTTTGGTATATAAAGTTTAGGTTCAAATCCTGCCAATTACTAATAAATCACTGTGTCGTATTTTGGTACTATATCAATGACTATATTATCAATAACTGACATTTCAAAGTAATACCTATAACAATTTTAGTTGGGTGCCTAGCTTGAAAAGAATTTTAAAAAACTGTACCAACTGATTTCCAGAAAAACAATTTGATTATTATTCATCCAGAAAGTTGAATCATAAACTAACATGGTTTATCTATGGTTTAATGTAATTTTTCAATTCCAACAAACCATTTTGTAGAACAACGATTTTCCCCACCCACTGTAGCATATGTTTAACTACACATGCATGATGTATAATTCATTGAGTGGCTTTAACATTGACATTCCACCTCCATTATTGTGACTAGAATACTATTGTATTATTAAGATCAATCTGTAATTTGAGAAGTCACTAACATCCTCAAATAATTAATTAATTGTTTTTTGTCCATAGTAAAAAATTAAGTAGTATTTATATACCGGCATTAACTATTGGATACTTTTAATACTTTTCTTTGAAATGGCGACGATACCAACAAGTAGGTATTTTAAGCCAAGTATGAATGGAGGTAAGTGTAGGATGTCATCAACTTCCTCAAATGTCACAAACTTTTTGATCTAAGAAAAAAAAGTTAAAATTAAACAATAAGATCTGGTAATACAACTTTAAAATGTTCTTTAAAATTGTCTGTAAAAATTCACCCTGTTTCCCTGCTGAAAAGATAATTTTAACAGGTATTGTGATGGATAATGAAAAATATTGTATAACAATTCAATCCTTAAATACTAGACAAACGCAGGCCATACTCACCGTAAATAGGATAGAATTTTTTGATATTATGTTTAGACATATCAATGAACGCAATTAATTTATGACATTAATAGAGCTTTCATCTCAGGTTTTTGTTGCCCTTCAAAGTGTTTGTTCTGTCTATTCCTGAAACGCACAAACGAATATTACATTATTGTGTAAAACAGTTACAGGGAAATTAATACAAATTAATTAAAGTGATTAAGTAACTTAATACTTTAAGCTTAACATGAAGGTATTAACATTGTATTTAAGTGACTTTATGGTCTACAAAAGACTTGAACTCGATTTTAGAACAGGATCAGAAAACATGTTAAATATTAACCAAGTTATCAATCCAACCCAAGGTCATACACTGAACAAACTTAAGATAAGACTTATTGTTGCTAAACTTATCATGGTTGATTGTTAGTTTACCTAATTTAGATCCAGAACTAACCTAAATTGCTAAATTTTAAATTTAGTTAGGTATAATTAAACTAGTTGCTGTACTCGTGCTGAAACGTGATTAAACACAACCATTTATAAAGAGTTGTGCCATTAGGTTGATGGCAAAGAATTTATCATCATAAATTCATTACTATGCCTTATGCAGTCAATAAAGTGTCAGGCTTACAATTTCTCAAAAGTTTGTTTCTTATATGATAACTCATACAGAGACTTCCACTACATAAAGATTGTTCTTCAGGTTCATCATCATATCCATCACATTCCATACTAATATTTTCAATGTCAAGTATGAACCCCCTCAGACATACTTTTATTAAGCATCTCAATAAAACATCTTAAAATTTCAGATAGTTTGGATCAGTCATTCAGCTCAGTATATAAAGCACAAAACACAATGTAAACAAACATCACTCACTAACAACCTTGTGCCATCTGACAGTTTTTCACAATCTAAATAACAAAATGATTATAATATTTGAAACAGTTGTGGCAATTATTATTGCCAATGACAAAAAATCACAAAATAATCCAGTGTATTGTTTATTTTTGTATTATAAACAATGTATATCAATTTGTTTTTTTGGACGGATATATCCGTTTGCCACCCGGAAATTGACGAATATATCCGTCCATAACCGAGGAAGGGTTAAGAAAGACCATAATTATTAAATACTTCTTGGGCACCTGCACAACTTCCTTTGAAACTTGAACATGTAATGATTACTACTTATTTTTCTGTTGCAGCCAACTTGTCAGCGTTCTCTATTGGCACGATGCTGGGTTGGACCTCACCCATGCAGCCTCTCCTGTCGTCTGCTCACCCTCCGATTGGCTCCGAGCCTCTGTCTGCAGAGTTTATCTCATGGCTGGGCTCCATCAACTTCATCGGAGCCTTGTGTGGAACACTGTTCTGGGGCATTCTCTCAGACCGCCTGGGGCGCAAACACACTGCGATCATCGTAGCTGTGCCCTTCATCATAGCTTGGCTACTGAAGATCGTCGCACAGAACGGATGGTGGCTGTTAGTTGCAAGGATAATCATCGGAATCGGTTGTAGCGGAGTTATCATCAACACCCCCATCTACGTCACCGAGATGGCCGAAGACAAAATAAGAGGGTCTCTCGGTTCTTACTTGATGATTTTTCTAAACGCTGGGTGTGTGTTTTCATACATCATAGGGTCACTGACTTCTTACCACGGATTGGCAGCGATTTGTTTGTGTGTGCCGATAATCTTCCTGGTAACTTTTCCTAACCTACCGGAAAGTCCGGTTTACCTTTGGACTCACGGTAAGAAAACCGAGGCGGAAAACTCACTATTGTGGTTCAGGGGCGGAAACACTCTTCAAACTATGAAAGAAATAGAGAACTTACAACAAAAAACAGGAAAGGCTTTTGAAAAGCCTTGTTTTAGAGATTTGTTTGATTCTAAGGGAGTGAAAAAAGCTTTGTTCATTAGTATCAGCTTTGTTGTTGGACAGCAGTTTTGTGGAATTTTGGCAATATTGACTTACACTGTAAAAATATTCCAAGACTCAGGATCTTCTTTGTCAGCTCACAACTCCATGATCATTGTAGGAGTCCTCCAGTTGTCTTCAGCTTTCACATCCTCCTTGCTTGTGGACCGTGCTGGAAGAAGAGTGCTCTTGATTATGTCCTATTTTGCAATGGCTGTTTCACTTACAGTGTTGGGGTGCTACTTGTATTTTCAAGATGATTCCTGGAACCCTTTGCTCAAATGGATCCCTATCACCTGCCTCTCTGTGAATGTAGTGTTCTACTCCATAGGCGTCGGGCCTGTTCCTTTTGTAGTTATATCGGAAATCTTTCCTCCTAACATTCGAGGTTTTGCTATGTCAAAAATTCAAATGCTCGGAACTACCTTGTCTTTTGCATCTGTGAAGACCTTTCCGACTTTGACCAATCTTTTAGGCTCTCATGGATGTTTTCTTTTCTACGCCAGTTTTTGCTTGATTCTTACTTTATTCACATTCTTATATGTACCTGAAACCAAGGGCAAAAGCCTGCAAGCCATATTAAAGCAGCTCAATGGGGAAGAATTAACGAAAGCAGAAGAAAGTGAATACACAGAGTTATATGGGACTCAACAGTCTACCATCGTAAAGAAACAAAATGCAGCAACTGCCTAGTAATTTACGGAAAAATATCTTAAATAGGTACATAGCTGTACTTGTACTGCACAGAATACTATACAATACTTCAAAGGTGCTGCAAGGACTGTGTGTGGTGTAGAAAATGTTATTAATTAAGAACTGGTTAAACAATAAGGCCGAATTACTTGCATTTAATATATTATATTGTTTAATATTTTAAAGTTTTTTGTTGAGCTTCCTTAAGAGAAGCTATTAGAAAAATTTTTTTCATGAGGAATGTTTCTGAAACGTATGCTATAAGTAATTAGGGGTTATATTCAGTGCTGTGTAAAAATTGCTTATAGACCTACAAAAATTGAGGAAATACAGACCTGAGTACAATCATAGACAAATAGAATGAATATAGACAGCAGTGATGCGGTTAGCATATGTTACGGCGCCCACCGCTAGGAGTGTCGTGTAGTTACAGCGCACACCGCTGCAGAGTCTGCTGGTAGCATACGGCTCCTGCGCTCCTTGCGTGCAGCGGTGTGTGTCGTAACTACACAGCACTCCTAGCGGTGGGCGCCGGAAGCTTGCTTAGACAGTCTATATTTATTCTACTTGTCTATGGTACAATGGAAAAACCCAATATATACATAAATAGTATGTAGCAATTAATGGTATGTAGTTTGTTTGCCTTTATAACAACAGCTGATCGATTGTATCAATTGTGTTAAAACATTGTTATAAAAATAATAATAGCATAGACAAATAGAATAAATATAGACCGTCAAAGGAAGGTTCCGCGATGTGCCGCTAGCAGTGTCGTGTAGTTACAGTGCACACCCCTGCAGGTGAGGAGCCGTATGCTACCAGCAGACGCTGCAGCGGTGTGCGCCGTAACTACACGGCACACCTAGCGGTGGATGCCAGAACATATGCTAACCACAGCAATTCTGTCGGTCTATATTTATCCTATTTGTCCATGATAATAGGTAACAACATGGATTGCATAGAGTTTGCATTTTTGCTATATTGTAGAATTGTAACTGCCATGTAGTACACAAACAGTTTCTCACTCACTAATAGTTGTACTGACACAATCATGGTGCTATATTATCTTCATTTTAGTCTTCACAGTTAAAGCCAAGAATTTTTATCTTTAATAAAACTGTGGTGAGAAAATACTGAAATTTTGGTGATAAATGTTTGGTAATTCAACTCCTAGGCTGTGTAAAAGAATGCTCTAAACTCCTAACTTCGTTAAAACACCAATAAAAGGTCAAGTTTGTCTATATGTTTTTCCTTTATTAGTTTTTGTTTAACACAACACCGAATGATATTATACTTTTAGTTTAGAAAATGTAATTTAACTACATATAATGCTAAAAATTATTGTTAGTTGATGACTGTGATAGTAAGTTAACTTTCTTTATAAGCTTAAGTTGGAGATAGTTTGGTCCAAATCAAATTGTAACATTACAGGTCCAAGATAGTGTTTTTCAGTATAGTGGTATGAGTTGAATACATTTGTAGAAAACACTAAAAAACAAGATCAGCTTTTGAAAAATTATAAGATGTTTACAAGAAAATGTTGATGATATCGAACTGTTAGTACACATCGGGAGTATTTTCATAATCTTTGAGTCTACTCTTTTAAAGTCCTAGTAAATTATGACCGTTACTGTATTCGTTTTAAAATAACGCCTGTAATACTTCTTAATTGCTCGAATTCACACAACAGATACACTAGTATGTATAAAAATAAGTTTCACTTTACAAAAGATTTTTAAAATTGTACTGTGTTGTATGCAACCCTCGAATGTTATCCCCTAAAGTTTACCTTCACTTGATCGGGAATAGACTCAAATACATAAATGTTAATAATTATAGATTTAATTTTGTTTTGTTGTACACTATATTGTTATTGATAAAATTGAGGACTTGTGTTTGTTTGGTATACCACTGTGTTATAATTTTTTTCAAAATTGATAACTAGCTGTCACTAAATGCAGGTATGCCAACAGAAGGAGATTGTTTGAACTTTACTTTTATATATTATATTCTAGGTTAAGTCTTATTTTTTTATATGAAATCCCCCAGAGTATTATTAACGATCAAATACAAGGTCATTTGTTGTGTTTTAACTTATTTTTTTAAGTTGATTGTAGTAGACTTAATTTCTAAACTAAAACTATTGTTTATATTTAAGTTTTTATTTTCTATTTGTTATCATTAAAAATTGCTTGAGTTCAACTTCTTTAATTTTTAGAAAATAAATTTTACCTTTATTTTAGGCTAAGCAACATAAATTGGTAACGTGATGTTAAAAAAATACAGTACAATAGTATACACCACAAGGCAAGGAAATATGTGTTTTGGGTGTAAAGCAAATCCATGTTAGGGATTTTGATTTTATTCAAGTACCGTTAAAAACTCCCCAGGTGTCGCATATAATACTTTTTCTCTTGGAATCCAGCATAACAATAAAGGAATGACCCAGTACAGGTCATAAGGGTGAACTGTGCTGTAGTGGCAGGTACCAAAATGCAAACCCCTTGTATGGAAGTCTGTTGTGCTATTTGTGATTGAGCCCTCAATTTACCAATGTTAATTTAAACTTTTTATACATTCTTGTATTGATATGGTCATGTGTATTGGATATGGAGTGTTTAAGCTCTGTAGAGTGGCTGGCCATGGCATAATGCTTGTTGCACTTATAGACAATTTAAGCCACAAGAAACACATAAAGACACATGGTTCTCTAATCCTGGTAGATACCAATCTTCCTATTTCACCGACAACACCTTTCACAGGTACAGGTATCGGTCACTTCCTGAGCAACAATATTTCAGAAAGGCCGCCAGAACCCTAACTTACGGAACGTTCTATAAGACTCCCATATACCTTTGCCACTCTCACCCCAATACAACCTACGACGACGTGCACGACCTTCTTCAGTTGAATAGTAGTTGGCCCCGATGCAAAGTAACTAGCATCCCCATTTAATAATTTGCTATTTAAGATATTGTATTTTCAATTGGTTTGCGGCAACCATCTTAGATAATGACGGGCTACAATAATTATGGTTTGTTTAAAACATTTCACCATTAGGGATAGTGGGGGTAGCTCCATATTTTCAAATGGGAAGTATAGTCTACTTTGTTATCATTTTACAGGTCTTAATGGAACTAAACAACAAAAATTTAAAGAAAATAATAACCCCGCCACAGAAAACCAGCAGACTAAACGAATTTCCATTTGCCTTATTGGATTTTCAATGAAATCTTCCCTTTAATAGTTTAATTGTGAATGTCACAATTTCTTTAAAAATATTTAAGTGCTAAAGTAACTATACATTCTAGTTATAGATCAAATTCGGGTCAGTTGACCATATTCAGTTAGTTAATTCAAGAAGGTTGTTAGTCTTAAGAATTTTGTTTTGAGAAGAGGATTTAGAGTTCAGCTACTTACCTGAGAAAGCTTGAATCCAGGGGCTAGTAGATTTCCAATTTTTCCTTTGAAATAAAAGATACAGCAAACAAAACATGCATTTGTCATTTAATTAAAAGTGCATACAATCTAGAAAGTGAATTTAACTCATTGTTATCACAATTTTTTAGTTTGTTTTAACTTCATCTTGTGTCAATAGGATTTTGATAAGATTGTTGTCACAGTTAAGTTTAAACACCTGTCTCTTGATTATATAATAACTAGATTGTACCTGCGACTTTTCCTGTGAGGCTTTAACCATAAATATCATGCAGTAACATAAGAAACAATCACAAAAGAAAGATATTATCGTTATTTATTGCCTACCGCACAGTTGTAAAATTAATCTTAGCATTAAAAACTCAACAGAGTTTGAATTGAAATTAAACTAGGAAAGCATTTTGCAAAGGGGGTGAAACGCTGTTCTATCTTCCAAGTAAACATTGGGCCTTCCTTATATTCAACCTTGGTGAGGACCTCTGCACGTCAAGATTTTGCATCTGTAGAAAAGGTACACGGACCTTAACTTTTTAACACAGGTGATGGCACTCCTGATAGCTCCTTGGGAGAATATTAAATTGGGTGTTCCACGAGGATCTATCTTAAGACCTTTGCTCTTTTTACTATATATAAATGATTTATAAAAAATTGTTTCATAAAAATTATCCTATGTGCAGACGACACAACTGCAATTATCAAAGCTAGGTCCCATAGGGACTCGGAGCATTAAATTAATTCAACTTTCTTTGATTTGGCAAGCTGGATTGAAGTTAATGGACTGAAACCAACTATTTTAATTTTTTGTACTGCACAGTCAAAATAAGGTTAAAATTCAGAAATCTGCGTTAAGGACCAGTTGGTAACACTTAGTAGTGCAAAATTCCTTGATTTGGTACAGGATATTAATTTTTCATGAAGTAACTCTATTGATAATATTAATTAAATTCAACCTGTTACCAATGCTAGTACTACGTAATTATATTGACCGTAAAATAGAATTAATATTTATTATCCTTTCTATTTTTTCAATTCTTCTCCATTCACCTCAAGATGACATGTTTCCGTTGTTCCGAAAAGCACCGTTTTCCCGGAAAAAAACAAAAGTTTTGCGGAAATGGGTCATGTGAATACTCAAATTAACCAGTAAAGTGAGCTAAAAAAGAATATGCAAAAAATTTCAAGATCCAAAATTTTTTGCATATTCTTGTTCAGCTCGCTTTACCGGTTAGTTTGAGTATACACATGACCAATTTCCACAAAATTTTTGTTTTTTCCGTTTTTCCCCTTTTCTGGGAAAACGGTGCTTTTCCAACGAAAATGACAATCATTTTTGAATTCAGGACGTAATTTAGCATAAGAATAGTGAAAATAATTTTTTTTTAGCGACACGTCCGTGATCGATATAATTACCAAAAAAAAGAATTATTTGTCAAAATTGTTACCTTATAGAAAAAAAACTACTACTATTGTAATATTGACTACTATTAAATAAATGAATATTTATTGTTAACTACTTTTAAAATCAAAATTGGCTTTTCATTTTTTAATAATAGGATTTAAGATTGACCAACAATCTATTTACAATTGCACAATGCTACCTGTTTTATAGCTAAGTTAGGAACGTTATTGTGTCAACAAAGTTTGATTTGATTGGATCAACGTGAGCGTAAAGTTTGACAAGCCACAAGCATACACACACTATCAGCAAAGACAAGAGTTATCTAGGAGTTACTTCAAGGGGAGATCTCTTTGTTGAATCCCGTCAGTCGTAACTTATATCACCTACATACCACATCTCACCTTTACGACTCTACGATGTCCATTGAAGTTCTTAATTCAAATTCAGGCTGCAGACGGACGGCCAAATTCAGACAATACCTGGCAGCAATCCTAGGTAGGTTATAGTTACTGAGCAAAAGGTTTGCGAATAGTTTGTTGAGGGTTTTAGTTTTTGGAGGAAAGAGTTTTTGGCTTAGCTTTAAGGAATAAAGAATGAAAAAATTGTATAAGCACTTCCTTTTTGCCCCATTGTAGAGGAGAAAATATCAAATGATAACTAACCTTGATGAATATATTATACACCGTAACTAAAAAGTTTATTACAATGAACTTTTTGTGCACTGTCAACTGCCAGGAACTCTTCCAGGCCAAGTTAAGCTTCCTGAGAATTTTAACAGTTTCTCAAGCTACACAAACCTACAATCTAAATCACGTCAGTCTAAATTTTTAAGTTGTTCTGATTCCTTTTGCATCTAAAATTTTAGCTCATGAAAATTGAAAGAAGTCATGTGGTAAAACAGATGTTTATTTTCGGAGACAGTATATGTGGCTAAAAATTAACAAGGGTTACTACCACCACAGCAACCAACCACACAGCATAATAATGACTAGCTTTTGGCCTGTCCTACGCACAGGGCCAAGGAGTCAAAGTAGCTAGATTATATATTATGAAATTTGTATTTTTTCAAGAGCTTTAATCCAATAAGCTCATGCTAATTTTTTTATGGTGTAGGCGAAGGTGAATTCCTATTAAACTTCATACACATTTTCATGGACACTTCAGGAAAAACTGCATCTCAGTAACATTTTTTTAACGAGTGATCCCAGTTACAGCCCCGTGACGATTCCTGAGAAAAATACTATGTTCATCTATTATTATCATTGTTAATAACTATTATCTCTCACAATGTGAAAATTATAAAGATGGTTGATCAACTTCTCAACATACGTTATCTTCGCCAATTGAAGCTGTCAATCTTAGGGAAGTACAGTATCTCAAGTTTACTAAATTTTTTGCTTGAATTAGAACACTTAATGTGTTATTATCAAATATACAAAAGCTTTCCTACAACCATTTCAGTATCAAAACACAATAACTTTAGCAAGGTACACAAGCCTTGAGAGGTATGAGAACATATTAATTCCTTCCTGTCATCTTTTTTAAGAAAAAATAATATAAGTATATTAAAATTTATAAAATCATATTTTAACCAGGTCCACTTTTATAAACGGGGCGCTGGTGGTTAATGGGCGTTTGCCAGGTACCCCCTATTCACCACCCGCTCGCACTATGAAAAAAGGGGGGCGCTGCTTTTGGGTTTGCCCGAGGCTCCACTGACCCTTAACACCGCCCTGATTTTAACCCACATAATTTTCATTTTGATACGTTTTGTCACTTAAATAATATAACATTCTTGCTGTATTAAAGTTTCCCATTTCCAAAAACTCTTGAAAAAAGCCTTACACAACGCTCTGCACATAAGATAGAAAATTACCTACTAACCCACAAATAGTGAACAAAATTGTTTTCCTACAGTCACCCGACAAAGTTGACTTCCTTCTACTGTTTATAGTACAGAAAGCTGCTAATTGCTGCATATTTATACTTTGTCGTACGGTTTATACTTTGGCGCACATCAGGATTCCAACGAAGCAACACAAAACAGCGTGGTTCTATTATGCACGTAATACGTGTACGCTTGGAAATAGGTTGGCAACACTTAAAGATAATAATACTATGAGCAGCTGATTGACTATTATAACTACGATTTAACCTGTCATTTTGTGTTTATAGTTAATGTTCTCTTTTCGGTATTTCTGAGCTTTCTGGACTTTTCTTTTAAACGTTTTTAAAAAATTCCTACGATCTTAATAAACAAGAAAATACTTTTAAAGCTTTTTTTTAGGCGCGGAAATCACTGCGAATTACAAAAATATATGGAACTATTTTCTCAAGTCGCGGAGGACATTGCTTGCCGAGGAAAAAATTGAGGAGTGATATGAACCGGGGACTACTTTCACTAGGGCACCTATTTGTGTTGCCAGCTGAACATAAAAACGTGTTGTTTAGTTTTTGAAAGACTAATTATTTATATGCTTTATAGTGACTGTAGGAAAAATATAATGTGTAACACGAGTGCAAAAGGCCATTGCTGCACTCAAGAACATTCCGCACGAGCCGTAAACGTTGCTCTCGTGTGCAGCAAAGTGCCACTTTGCTCACTAGTTACACAAATAACTATTGAAGTTAAGTTAATAGGCTTTATGTGAGTAAATGTTAACTTATTTTCTACCTAAAATGCTTGACGAGTTTTCTTATGTAAATCGTTCAATGATAAATTCAAGCTAAGAAAACAAAACTTCTATTTATTTATGTTTTTGTATTTCAGTTAGTTTGTTGGGGCTATGCCTCGGTTCTACAGTGGGGTGGACTTCTCCAATGCAGCCTCTGCTGACGTCTGACAATCCTCCCTTTGGCACGGAACCATTAACCATGGACACCGTATCCTGGCTAGGATCAATCAACTATTTTGGAGCCATCGCTGGAACTTTCTTCTGGGGAAGAGCAGCGGATCGTTTGGGTAGAAAAACAGCCGCAAGTCTAGTGGCTGTCCCGTTTATTGTCGGATGGACCTTGATCTTGGTAGCGCAACAAGTCTGGTGGTTAGTGGTGGCGAGATTTGTTATCGGAATCGGTGCTACAGGAACAATCGTCGCTGTTCCGTTTTTCATTTCTGAAATGGCCGAAGACAAAGTGAGAGGATTTTTTGGTTCTTTTTTATCCATGTTTGTCTTTGGTGGAATACTCTACTCGTACATCATAGGTGCTTACTTGAAGTATCACGGACTGGCTATCCTTGGGCTCGCTGTACCTGTGGTATTCGCTCTAACGTTCATCTGGCTGCCAGAAACTCCGGTTTTTCTATGGAAGAACGGTGAAGCGGAGAAAGCGGAAAAGTCACTGTTGTGGTATCGTGGAGGAGATAAAGTTATGACTGACAAAGAACTTTGGAGACTAAAGGATTTGACCAAAGAGCAAATCAAAAGACCTAATCTCAAGTCGTTGGTTGCGACAAAAGGAACGAGGAAGGCTTTGATAATCGGCATTGCTCTTTGGGTGTCCAAGATAGGCAGCGGGATGTTTCCCATTTTGAGTTTTGCTGTCAATATATTTGAGATGTGCGACACCTCCCTAACTCCATACCAAGCTGCCATTATGATGGCCACAATGCAACTCATATCTGGAATATTCTGTTCAGCACTTGTAGAGCGACTTGGAAGAAAGATGCTCGTTGTAGGCTCTCTAATGACAATAGCCATCACTCTCACTGTGTTGGGAGCTTACTTGACGTTCATAGAAGAATTCCAGGCATATCCCATCTTGAAGTGGGTCCCCGTAGTTTGTCTCTGTCTTCACGTAATCGCGTTGGGTGTCGGTATAGGTCCAATGGCTTTTGTCGTTTCCGCTGAAATTTTCCCTCCAGAAATCAGGGGTTTGGCCATGTCCAAGCTTCAACTACTCTTCAGCACTCTTGCTTTTGCAACAATAAAGATGTTTCCGTGGATGAAATTCTACTTAAAACCTCAAGGCTGTTTCTGGTTTTATGGGTTATCTAGTTTCATCTTTTCACTTTTCTTCTGCTTTTACTTGCCTGAGACAAAAGGTAGGACTCAAAATGCAATCTTAAGGTTACTCAATGGTGAAGACCCAAATGAAGATGTGAGTGTGGAAGAAATGAAACAATTGAACAAGGAGGGTAAGGTTATTAAGAGTTGATAAATATTGTAAACGGGTTTAAATTGGTCTTTAACCAAACACGTTATGTGATAAAAAATAATAATTGAACTACAACGCATTAAATAATATGAATCTATTCTAGTTTGAAATTTTGTTAGATATCAATTAACCATACAAGAGGGAAAATACTACAATGTATACACAGTATTAGATTGTAAATTTTGTACATTTGGATTACGTAATTGTTAAGTTTATACTTGTTTATGTTATTATTTAACCCGTACTTTATTAAATAGAGAAGTATGATCTTTCGATATATTGTTTAGTTCCAAGTGTTCATAAACTTGTACATATCTTAGAGTTTGATCACAAAAACTCTTTTAAATGATCAATGTTTCTGATTTATTCTCGTAATAAATCAGTTAATAAATAAGTTTTTCAACCTAACCTAGAAAAGTAGAATCCAGCAATATAGAACATGGACCTTTTTGCCTTTAAATTTTGAACCAGTACCTTACGGCCGGGGACACACACAGCGGTTTTGTCCCCCACATATTATTTGCCGTCGCCGCCCATGAACAAACCTTTGTCTACACACACAACGGTAAAATCTACATTGCCGGAGATTTTCACGAGCTGCAGGAGTAGGGCTCACTTATGAATGCGTACTACATGGCTTCATGATGCATCATAGTAAGGTTGTTGTACAAAGTTAAAATTTGGTGGCTGGGCAAGTACTTGAAATTGTGAGGGGGGGGATGATGTCATATATAAACATATACACACATAAAAATTTTAACGAATAATGTTTTTGGCCTCTAGGGACATCAAAATAAAAAAGTATATTGGTCCCGGCTCCAGGTCTTACCTACGATAATAGCTACTTCCCTATAGGGAAATTCGCTAAAAATAACTGAATTGTGTTGACCACTATTGTGAATAAAAAAATAATAAAATAATGCAACACATACAAAACATTAACTTTTATTTACAAGTTTGTCTCAGTAGAAAAATATCACACTTAAAATGGAAATGAGAAATCAATTTGTTACAAAAACAAAAGTCAATAGGAAATATTTCTCATTTTAGCCACTCGATGAACTGGTCCAATAAAGACCAGAAGTGAAATATTTTAAATTCCACAATACAAACACTAATATATTACAATCTGAGTCCCGCTCTAGAGATTTTTCAAAAATAATTCACTGTTTCTTGAAACTCTTCAGTATAGGGTATATATTGTCGAATGCTTCGTATATTTCTTGCCGGACTTTAGCACCTGCAAGAAAAAGTTTTAAATGCATAAACCTTACAGAAACTGTTTTTTTCTCTCCGTTTAATGAAGAAATCTACTAGCGTTTTTAACAATGAGTAAAATTGAAAGGTTTCAAAGCAATTCCACTATACTCCATAGAACATAGGCCTACAATATTAATTTTAAAAGAAACACTATGGAAACACTATTGAAATCATGGTTTTTGATCAGCTGAATTCTTTTTTTGAAAGAAACAACTTTTTGAGTGTTTTACAATTTGGATTTAGAAAGGGCAAGTGTACATCAGACGCAAAAGATAAATTGATTAATGAGGTACTAATGGTCTTTGAGAGGAAGTCACTTGCTCAGGCCACTTTCTGCGACCTGAGTAGGGCTTTCGATTATGTCGACCATGATGACCTAATAATGAAATTAAGTTTTTATGGTATCAACGGATCTCCACTTTCTTTTTTCAAATCATACTTAAACAATAGAATACAAAAAGTCAATATTGATGGAGAATGGTCCCAAGAATTAAAAATAAAATATGGCGTGCCTCAGGGATCTGTTCTAGGTCCTCTGTTATTTTTAATTTGTATTAACGACCTCCCAGAATGTATAACCAGTAAAACTTATTTGTATGCAGATGATACAACATTTTTAAATATTAATCCCGATCTTAAACAACTTCAAGAGTTAGCTCAAAACTCAATCAATGAAGCTTCTATTTGGTTTGAATCTAACGGCTTCCTCTTAAATAAAGATAAAACACAAAAAATTGTTCTTAGCCTTAGACCCTGTGAATTAAATATGTTGGATGGTTATGTAGACAATGTTAAATTTCTTGGTATTTATCTAAAAAGAAGCTTTCTTGGGGAGATCTACATAAGTTCTAAGCTTTCAAGGGTAATTTGTCTTATAACTAAACTAATACATTGTATAGATCAAAATTATATTAAAACAGCCTACTTTGCTTAAATCAGATAAAAAAAACGCTCAAATGATTTTGATTTAAGTTACGTATTTTATGATTCTTATAATGCTAAACAGAATGTTATAGCCACCATTGCTGTAAATATTACAGTCCAAGAGTTATTCCAACTTTTGTGATTTTACCCATAAAATACTATGCTCTCATCCAAGGCTTTTAGGTTATAAAATCTAAAACCCTAGCATTCCTAGGGTTTCATTTGGCTTCAGAATATAAGCATGTTCTCAACTTGTATTTTTAGAAGATATTTTACGTTTCAACACAACTATACAAATACCTGTTAGAACAACTTTGCCCGAAACAAAGATCAGCAGTACTATCCTAGGCTTCACCATTCGGTATATGAGACCCGGGAATAATTCTGGTTCGTAGCTGAAATACAAAACAGTCCTTTACAATTTTTTCTTACAAGGAAGCTGAGTTGGCATCTAACCTCACATCCTTTCGTATATTCATTAAGGTTATACTATACTGAAAATTGCAATGCTTTGTGAGGAAGTTTTTGGAGAGTTCTTGCTCATTACCAGAAAAAAAGACTGAACGTCCTAAACTCCTATTTATTTTTCAAACCTAAACACGACACATTAAAAAATAGGTAGTAAAATAAAGATGATTTTCACATCTTATTAGAAAGAATGTATATATTTTTATCAAAAGAATAGTTAGTTGTTATTTTAGTAGGTAAGAAGAGCTTTTTTACCAGAATAACGTTGGTTAGTTGAGTCTTGTGTTTTGAGAAATGTAGTTATTTTATCATTATTATCATTATTATTTAAAATGGGGACGCCATCTATGTGCGTATTAAGACCCAAATATGAGTGAAGAATGGAGTGTGATGCCTTGTATGGCTTTTTACTGAATAAGATCAGCTGTTTCATTAGTCAGGACCATAAAAGCCCCAATGATCATAAACAGCTGGGTCCAGTTTCGAACCATCAAAAAGCTACACACTTTTTCCAGGAACGAACCGGCGACCTTTTGATTACCAGGAGCACTATAACCACTCAGATACCACTCAGCAATGTAGGTCACAAACAAATGGCCTTTATGTTGCACGTTATGTTGCTTTATGTTGCACGTTGTTATGTTGCTTTATGTTGAATTTTTATGTGCACGTTTGTTTTATAAATTGTTGTCATCAAAAGTTAGCTTGAATAAAAAAAACTAAAAAACTATGATTCTGTTAGGTAGGTACAACACATGTTATCAGATTGTGATATGAATTCATGATATTAAGTGGCATAGGCCTAATATTGCCATACCGTAATATTATAATAGTTAGTTAAATCCAAATAATGACATACCTGCTAAACTGCCCATGAGTCAAGACCAGACCTTCTAATCTAATAGGGAACTTCACGTCACAACTTCCAACCATGTTTTGTATTTTGAAGTCAAGGAATTTTGCCTGAAATGACAAAGATTGAATTAAGTTCTCCACAAACTTATACGTTTTATTTTTCATGATTCTTTCTACAAATCATAAATATATATAGTATATATTAAATAGTAGTAGTAAATGAAGCACAACTGAGCAACCTGAAATAATTATTAAATATTTTTCATAGAAGTTACATGTTTCGGACATGAGTTCATTTTCAAACTTCAAATCTATATATTAATAGGCAAGCATGTTTCATGTTTCTTTCAAACCTTTTTTCTCAGCTTGTGTGCACCCCAGGGAAAATCTACGCATACTGTTAGGAAAGATATTTTCCTGTATATGTACAGAATGCCTTTATAAATTAAAATAGGCTAAAAAGTAAGCACAAAAACGAATAGGCCTACCTATTAGAAAATTACCATGGGCCTTATGGAAGGATTGCCATGCTGATGACGAAATAACAACAAAATATAAAAAGAAATTCAAAAAAAAAAGGAAGAAAATCCAATCACATGTTGTATTTACAGTGTGGGGTGAAATAGAGATGAAGTCTCCACATGTTTTTGGTCGAGTTTTTGACCAATGGACAGAAAATCAACTGTTCACCTCTAGTAACAGTAAATACTTAACCTTTGTTTAAATTGTTTTTTAGTGTATAAACATAATTTAAATTATACAGATGATTTATAAAACTAGACAGGATTTGGAAAAGTTTTTGTTACTGATTATTTAATTATAAATTTTTTTATTTATTATTTCTATATACATAGGTATATATTCTTGTTCAGAAATATATATACTATGAATATTTGTACCATTTATCAATGTATCATAAAGTAAAAAAATACATACCGGTACAGCTTTGAATAACTTATTTTCTTTTACGACAAAACATTATTTTCTTTTTCAACTCATACAAAACTTACCAGTTATTACTGCACACTAAAGTGTATTATATCATATAACTATAATATTATTACCTTTAATAATACATCAGTCTTGGCTTATTACAGTGATATTTCATATTTTTTTCTGTGTTTCAAATCATTAGTGTACATTTATCGATATTTTCCAACTTTGTATATTCCTTTATTTCTTTAGATGGGGTGAAAATTTTGTATATCTTCGATTTTTTGTTCATAATTTTCTAGGAAAATACTATCACTCTACTACTTAAAAAAAAAAAAAAAACTCAAATATTCAACTGTAACAAAAATTGCACTTATTTTATTCAAAATCTCTTTCTTTTTCTCTACAAAATGGGTATGTACCTATATGACTACAGTTGGGACCACGTAAGTTTGCAGTTGAGGGAGGAGCCTATTTAATATATGGTTTTGAATGAACCAATGAGAACCGTGCGGTGTTGCCAAATCTAATAATCCCAGCTGATTTGAAAATATTGCTTAGTATATTTTAATTAGTGTTGTCAACGGGCGATGTGGCAACGTCGCACCAGCCTTGTCTTGTGATTGGCAGCCACCAACTGCAAACTTACGTGGTCCTGACTTTAGGATACCGGTATCATTAGTAATTTAGACACTGCAAATTTAAAAAAGAACTCTTGCGCGAAATCGCAAAAATGGCAGGGACATTCATCCAAACCATCAGGGCAGTCCTAGGCTTAACCGAAATAAACGGGGGAGAGCTGTTTCGGATAACAAATTTTTCGGTTAGAACATCATTGAGCGGAGCGAGCGAAGCTCTTATACGTCGACTCTTATGCATTTCGTAATACGCAAACTCCTCCTAGACGGCTGAATCAATCGTTTTCAAATTTTGCATGGTGATATCGGTGAGTGCCGACATCTATATGGCGTTAAAAAAGGCTCTCAGGAATCCGCCCCACTGGGTTTCGAAGTTTAAATGTAATCCTTATGGAAGCAGTATTTGACACATAAACAAAGACATATGATCAGCTGTTGACTTTTGAATGCAGTGGATAAAGAAATAGCTGATAGCATTATTCCACAGATATTAGAACAGAAACGGTATGGTTCATAAATATAATCAAATGACAACACTAGCTTGAGGTCCGTGACTTAGGAAGTGGTGAAGGAAGTAGTAATGGTGAACAGTCTTGAGTGTGGAAACTGTTTATGACGATTAAATTTAGGTATCTGCAATCCTAAAATGCTATTGGAAGGGAAGGAAACAGGTCCGCGACGTAGAAAGTGGTGAAGGAAGTAGTAAAGGTGAGCTATTCGGGGTATGGGATCTGTTTATGACCATTAGATTTAGGTATCTGCAATCCTAAAATTCTATGGGAAGGGAGGAAAACAGGTCCGCGACGTAGGAAGTGGTGAAGGTAGTAGTCAAGGCGAGCTGTCTGGAGTGTGGAAACTGTTTATGACAATTAGATTTAGGTGTCTGCAATCCTAAAATTCTACGGGAAGGAAGGAAAACGGGTCCGCGACGTAGGGAGTTGTGAAGGAAGTAGTCAAGGCGAGCTGTCCGGAGTGTGAAAACTGTTTATAACGATTAGATTAAGGTATCTGCAATCCTAAAATGCTATGGAAAGGGAAGAAAACAGGTTCGTGATGTAGTAAGTGGTGAAGGAAGTAGTCAAGGCCAGCTGTCAGGAGTGTGGAAACTGTTTATAACAGTTATATTAAGGTATCTGCAATCCTAAAATGCTATGGAAAGGGAGGGAAAAAGGTCCCGTGACGTAGGACGTGGTAAAGGAAGTAGTAAATGCGAGTTGTCCAGAGAGTGGGATCTATTTATGACGGTTAGATTAACACGTTGACTGCGCGTGCCGACTTTAGTCGGCGTCGCCAGCGCTCCCAGGTGGCCAACAGACCAACAGAAATATATTGAGTCAGTGTGAGCTTAGCCTCAGACGGAGACGTTATAATCGTTGCCAGCCTGCCAGCTTAGAATGCGAGCTTTACTTTGGTGTAGGTTGGTACTAAAATTTCCCGTAAAATCCTGTCTGGCAATGCTTTTGTCCCGGTTTCGGGGATTTTTTCTCTTCAACCCACATTACAAAGACACTGGATACGGATCCGTGCAGTGCTGCTACCTTTGGGTGTTTCAGTGAACTACATCCACTCTCGGGGTAACGCAGCACAGTCACCACTGCTCTTTTGTGATTCGTCAGACTGAAATATTTGAATGCCAATTGCGTTCGCTGATTCGGTTGCGCACCGGGGCTTCGCCCGCCACTGGGGGGCGCCTGTAAAGTCGGCGCGCGCAGTCAACGTGTTAAGGTATCTACAATCCTAAAATTCTATGGGAAGGGAGGAAAACGGGTCCGCGACGTAGGAAGTGGTGAATGAAGCAGTCAAGGCAAGCTGTCCGGAGTGTGAAAACTGTTTATGACGATTAGATTAAGGTATCTACAATCCTAAAATGTGATGGGAAGGGAAGAAAACAGGTTCGTGATGTAGTAAGTGGTGAAGGAAGTAGTCAAGGCGAGCTATCCGGAGTGTGGAAACTGTTTATGACCATTAGATTAAGGTATCTGCGATCCTAAAATGCTATGGAAAGGGAGGGAAACAGGTCCGTGACGTAGGACGTGGTAAAGGAAGTAGTAAAGGCGAGTTGTCTGGAGTGTGGGATCTGTTTATGACGGTTAGATTAAGGTATCTACAATCCTAAAATTCTATGGGAAGGGAGGAAAACGGGTCCGCGACGTAGGAAGTGGTAAAGGTAGTAGTAAAGGCAAGCTGTCGGGAGTGTGGAAACTGTTTATGACGATTAGATTAAGGTATCTGCAATCCTAAAATGCAATGGAAAGGGAAGGAAACAGGTCCGCGACGTAGGAAATGGTGAAGGATGTAGTAAAGGTGAGCTATTCGGGGTATGGGATCTGTTTATGACCATTAGATTTATGTATCTGCAATCCTAAAATTCTATGGGAAGGGAGGAAAACAGGTCCGCGACGTAGGAAGTGGTGAAGGTAGTAGTAAAGGCAAGCTGTCGGGAGTGTGGAAACTGTTTATGATGATTAGATTAAGGTATCTGCAATCCTAAAATGCAATGGAAAGGGAGGGTAAAAGGTCCGTGACGTAGGAAATGGTGAAGGAAGTAGTCAAGGCCAACTGTCCGGAGTGTGGAACTGTTTATGACGATTAGATTAAGGTATCTGCAATCCTAAAATGCTATTGGAAGGGAAGGAAACAGGTCCGCGGCGTAGAAAGTGGTGAAGGAAGTAGTAAAGGTGAGCTGTTCGGGGTATGGGATCTGTTTATGACCATTAGATTAAGGTATTTGCAATCCAATAATGCTAAGGGAAGGGAGCGAAAAAGGTCCGTGACGTAGGAAGTGGTGAAGGAAGTAGTAAATGCGAGCAGCCCGGAGTGTGGGAACTGTTTATGACGATTAGATTAAGTTATCTGCAATCCTAAAATGTTATGGAAAGAGAGGGAAACAGGTCCGTGACGTAGGAAGTGGTGAAGGAAGTAGTAAAGGCGAGTTGTTAGGAGTGTGGGATCTGTTTATGACCAATAGATTAACGTATTTGGTATTTGCAATCCAATAATGCTAAGGGAAGGGAGGGAAACAGGTCCGAGACGTAGGAAGTGGCGAAGGAAGTAGTCAAGGCTGGCAGTGCAGAGTGGGGGAACCGTTTGGGCAGTTAGATAAATGTACCTAAAACCTAAATGCTATGAGAAGGGAAGGAAACAGGTCTATGACGTTGGAAATGGTGAAGGAAGTAGTAAGGCTTGCAGTGCAGAGTGTGGGAACCACGTTAGGCAATTAAATGAATTTATCTGCAATCCTAAAATACTATGGGAAGAGAGGGAAACAGGTCCTTGACGTAAGGGGTGGTGAAGGAAGTAGTAAAGGTGAGCAGTGTTGAGTGTGGGAATGGATTTGTATCTGCAATGCTAAAATGCTATGGGAAGAGACTGTAGACTGTAGGTTAAAATGATTACGAAGAACGAATCGATACATATTTCGATATATGCAATCATTTACAATAGAAATTTACAACTGAGTTGACAACAGCTGATTTTTTACTCCATAGACTAAAAACGATTTTTACTCCCTAAAGAGTAAAAATGCTACTTTATACT